TGCTGAAGACTTTTTTTAAAAAGCTGTGAACATCCTACATGAATATTGTCTTTGCACCCTTTCTACCCCTTCAAGTCCCCCTCCAACTCCTCCCATATCCCTCACTTCCTTTCAATTTTCTGTCCCCTTCCTTGATTGTTACATATACATGCATATATAATATATTAATTATTATAGGAAATTTGTACAATATCTAATTTGTATAATATATACAAATATATTTGTGTATATAAAATGTGTATATATGGAGAGAGAGAGACAGAAAGACAGAAAGAGAGAGTCCATTTGGTGGTGCTCCTGTATACCTGTTCAGAGCTGCCCTCTTAGAGTTAGATACCTCTCAGGGAAGTTAGTCCCTGGAGAAAACTGATTCTCTCTCATTCAGAATTTATTGATTGCTCACAGTTCTTCATTTTGAGCTGGGACCCTGTGACATTTCCAGCATTCACCTTGGCCTGTCAACTTGCTTTGTTGTTACATGTTATATGTTGTTATGTGTTGTTGCATAGATCGTGTTAGACTACCACACTGAGGAGATTTCGTTGGCGTAGCATTCCTTAAGTAACAGTAGACTTGAGTATAACAAGAACAACCAAGTCTTAAACACATTATACAAATTAGATACCGTACAAACAAATTTCCTATAATAATTAATATTCATTATTTTCATTGATAGTTAATAAGCAAATATTCTCTTACTCAGGTAAAAATACTCCATAAAAAATGCATATGCTAGTTAACGGAATGCATCTCTATCATCTCTGTTCATATAAACTACTAATTTTATAATAAGGGTTTCTTTTCATGGACTCTTGCAGGTTTTTTTTATAAACCCTAAAATACATTGATTGTCCCCCACTGATTGGGATCAGACCCAAGGCTTCACAAATGCTAGGCAAATGTTCTACCTCTGAGCTAAACCTCCCAGCTCTTCAATTATCTTTTGAAAGGAGTTAGATAATTTAGTAAGTTTGGTGCTTACTTTCTGTCCTCAAAAGAGGCCACTTACTACTTATCTTTCCTCTGAATTGTTTCCAAGGACAACTCTCCTTCCGTCTTTGCCCTTGTTAACTGTGTGTGTAATGTACCTTTTCGTTGGGTCTGATTTAACCTTTCACTTAATTAAATTTATTCTTTGATTTGTGTATTTTGATTACTGCCCCTCACCCTCTCTTATCTCCCTCCATTTCTTGACAGCACCCTCCCTTTGCCTCCAGTCTCTTTCCCACATGCATGTTGTTTTGGGATCTACTGATTTTAATAAGGGCTAACTGTGTTATGTTCATTTGAAACTATCCATTGAAGCCTGGTGGGTTCATCTGTGGGTACACATTTTACATGCCCGGTATCTTTTATTAGATTGGTGTTGCAGATTTAACCTCATATGTGCTCAATATCACTGCACTCCTAAAAAATATTCTTGCATTTAGGTCTGGTGGGTAACTCAGAAAGACTCTGATTCATTTGGTCTTATTTTAAGACATCAGGTAGAACCAGAACAGTTTTCGTTCTCTGGCTACTTAATTCCTCACCTCTGAGCCAAGACTTTGGTATTGTCTATGCCCTCACCCTTTCATGTCAGTTATGAAATTCTCCAATATAGTGGAATCCTGCCCTATTCTTGGCCCTGGATGAATGCTCAGCCCTGGTTCTGTAATTCCTTCAGATAGTTCCTCCCCTTTGATGGAGCTTTGCTCGAGTGACCCAAGCACTCTTTCTCCATGTAATTCTCTCTCTTCCTCTACTCTATGAACTCTAGCTAGCTCAGCATTCCCAAATTCTTAACTCTAGCTGTCTTCTAGCCTCTGCCTAAGTCCCTATCTCTATGCTGTAGCTTGCAAGCTGGAGACGGAAATCTGGGTAAACATGGGGCTCATAGCACAGAGCCCGCCTCTCAGGGATTGCTGTGTTGAATTGTCTGTTGTCCACTGTCTTTGAAAAACCATTTTTCCATATACTTTTTCAGTATTTGTTTTCAGAAGAAAATCTAGTTCTATTACTTCAACATGCCAAAAGCGGATGTCTCATTTAGAGCTACCTTTGATAAATATTTTCCACATTTTATCCTTAACAGTGCAACAAGAAGTAGTAGTTAGGCCACTCCTGTCCTTCACAGTCCTCAATATCACCTGGATTTAGCTGTTAAATACTTAACAGCCTTTGATTTCTAGCTTTTAAATTTTTGAAACTGAATGAAAAGAATATGAGTTTTGTGATTCTTAACTGTAGAAAGGTCAGTTTTTCTCCCTACTTTGAATTCAGGGCAAAGGAGCTACATTTTGGGTGACTGGAGCACCTCAGAGACTGTTTGCACTTTCTCAGACACATGGCAGTTAGACAGGTTGAAGACAGTCCTACGAGGAGAAAGGTGTTGCTGTTACTGGAGCCATCTTTCAAGACTGTGTCTTTAAAACCTAAACAGTGGCTGAGATCTTTGAGTTTTTCTTCAGCAGTTAGCTGTCCAAGCAAGAGCAAATTACGTATTTCTCACTTAAATACAAGATACTCAGTGAACATCACCATCAACAGTCTTCATTTTTGGCCAACTTCCAGACTCGTACTCTTTTTTTTTTTTTAAACCCAAAAAGAGACAAAGCCTTGCTATGATACTAGCATTTCCCAATACAGAAGGGAGAATTCCATAATTTGGGTGGAGGCGCAGCTTAGTTGGTACTCTCCTAGTATGCATAAAGCCCAGGATTTGATCCCCAGCACCCCAGCACATCATACAACTGGTGTGGTGGTGTGTGGTGGTTTGAATGAGAATGTCTCCAGTAGGCTCCAAGTATTTGGACATTTTGTCCCCAGTTGGTGGAGCTGTTTGGAAGGTGTTAGAAGGTGTGGCCATGGTGGAGGAAACATGTCACTGGGGTAAGGCTTACAGAGTTCTTAAGCCTTGCCAAATCTCCAGTCACTCTCTGCTTCCTGTGCCTGGTTGAAGAGGTGAATGCTTAAGCTTCTGCTCCTCCTCCAGTCACCTCTGCCACCATGCCTCCCCACCATGATGGTCTATTGCCCCTTTGGAACCATAAGCTAAATAAACTCTTCCTTTTATAAGTTCCATTGGTCATGGTGTGCTATCACAGCAACAGAAAATACTAATACATATCTGTGATCCCAGCACTCAGGAGGTACAGGTGGGAGATAAGATGCTCAAGGTGTTTCTTGGTTACATAGTGAATTTGAAGCCAGCCTGGGTTACATGAGACCCTGTCTCAAAATAAAGCGCTGTATTTTAATCTTCAGTAGAGTGACCTATTAGTCACCTATTTCCCAAACCCCACATAACAGAGCATAATAGGTACATATGATGTCTGCAAATTCAAGCTTGCCCACTCAGCATCACTCTTTCTCTTTCATTTCAACCTCTCATGGTGACAGTAACCACAGTTGAAACACCTTGCAGTCACTGAACTAGAGTCTGGGCAAAGCTAGGAGAGAGTTCATGTCTAAAAGGAAAAAGAATATCTGTATACACAAACAGAATATAAGAGTATTTGGGGGGCTGGAGAGATGGCTCAGTGGTTAAGAGTACTGGGTGTTCTTGCAGAAGTCCTGGGTTCGAATTCCAGAACCCAGATGGTGGCTAACAACTGTCCTAACTCCAGTTCCATCTGATCTGTCACTCTCTTCTGTCTGCCACCAGCCTGCATGACACAGATCACTTGCAGACATACAAGCACAATACTCATATACATAAAATTTTAAAGAGTATTTTTTATTAATGTGGCATTTAAGGACATAGGCATTTCTTCAATTTTCTTGTCCTTAGTAAATATTCAGCTCACAATCATATTATTATTAAGTTTTAAGGACTTAGTTATTTTCCTTTAGTCCATGTTTTATCTCATATCAGGAAACTGTAAGGACAGTTTCACATGAGCTCTGACTCTTGAGGAAAAGAAGTCCTTGACAGTCTTGCATTGGATCAGACTTGGCACCAGGAGAATCTTTAACATGCCAGGCACATAGAGGGTTTGATCTAGGTCTTGTTGGCCTTATGTTTTCACTTCCTTAACCACAAGGTCTCTTTCTTCCACAGGCACTCAAGTGGACAGAGCAAACAGCTGTCAGTCTGACAGCAGCGGGTTTCTGGAGGAGCTACCGGAGCCCCCAACCCTTCAGGTAGAAGGGGCTGGAGTGGGGCCCTGTTTAGTCCATATGCTCCAACTCAGTCCTATCAACCATCCTCTGATTCTAAGTTCACTCTTGGCTAACTTAGAGGGAATGACAAGTTGAAAGTGCCCAACTGGAAAGGTTTGACGTCCACATTTACTCAGTGGGTGGAGAATGGAAAAATCACAGTGGACTGAGTGCCAAGATGTTCAGCTTTTATCTCGTGTTCATGTTCTTTCAATTTCTTTCTACATAATGGAGCTTAGCCTCCTAGGAAAGACGTCCTGGTGAAGCAGTACCCTGATGTAATTCCAGATCCACAGCCTGTATCTCAAGACTCCTGAGTCAGTGGTGGTGGTACATATTCTTACCATAGGGGTGCTTCCTGATTTCTTTCCCTGTTTGTTGGTTTCTCCTGCAGGTGTCTTTCTTGACAGGCAGCCAGAGTCCCACTGAGAGTGCAGGTAGAGAACCAAGAGATAAAGGCCACAGGCCAGTGACATGGCAGGACCATCAACCAGAGCTAGATGGCTCTGATTCCAAGAGCATGGCGAGCATGTCTTTGTCAAGCCAGGATGGGGGTGTCTTGGAAGAAAAGACTTCTGCATCCTTGGTGGAAGAAGAGCTTCATCTAGAGACCACCAAGGGGCCATCAGAGATAGTCAACCCAGACATGGCCCTCGCCAAGACTGTCACAGTGGGAGAATACCCACGGGGTGTTGTTGGAACTGTAATCACTTCTCCATGTATTAACACACTGGGCTTCATGGTGACTCATGTCACAGAAAAGGAGGGCAGGTCTCTGAGGCATGAGGAAGCTGGGGAGGTACTGGTACAAAGGCACCACTTTGAGTCACAAAGGTCGTTGGGGATTGAGCAGAATCAAGATAATTTCTCTCATGTAGACTCTGAGTCCTCAGGAACAGAGTTTAGCATCAAAGTCCATCCTGACATTGGCCACAGCTTCTTGGCACAAGAGAGTCCACCACAGCACATTTTCCAGCATGCAGAAGGTGATCTTGTTCAAAACTCTGAAAAATCAACTCCCCACCTTGATAAGCCACCTGGAGATGTTCCCACTGACTCAAACGCTTTCAGCTCTAGGTCTGTGACAACCCATATGTCCTCCAACCTGGTGTCAGCTGCTCAGAGTGCTGTGGCCTTGGGGACTGATTATAAAGGAACAGCTTCAGAAGGCACTCCACGTGACCCTGGTACTACTACGGGACTGAGACTGCAGGCAGACGTGAGGCAGGTCAATGATGTTGCTGTTCAAACTTGTACCTGTGAATCCTGCACACCCTGGCATTACTGTTTTCCCTCACATAACGAGGCCTTTAATCATCAGCCCTGGTCCCTTACCAAATCAGTCTCTTTGGACACGGATTTTCCTAGCACCTCCACAGCAGGCATCTATCACCTTGTACCTGCCCACTGTTATGTCTGCTGTCATCACTGTCCCCACTGCCAGGGGAGGAGGCCTAGCCCTGGCCCAGCACCCTCTGTCTATTGGCATCATCTGTCCTCACATGCAGAGGATCCAGATGCTCAGTTCTTGGAGACAATGAAAGTACTTCAGGATACTGCTATGAGGGATCTCTGTTCTGTAAGTATTTCCTCTGCAAAGCTGGGAAGGCAGATTCACAAACCATGCTGCTAACATCACATGGATGATGGTTTCCTTCCTTTCTGACAGGAACAACTCAGGGAATACCTCCTGTTTTCAGACAAAAAGCGTGTGTGTGTTTAGTGTTTTATTGTGTAAGATATGGTCTTAATTTTTAAAAATTATTTGATTTTTCCAATCAAGTACTTGTTTTTAAATATTTTTATTAATTCTTTGCAAATTTCATACAATGTATTTTGATGATATTCTCCCCCTATTCCTCCCTCCCCCCTATTCCTCCCTCCCCACTACTCCTCCCTGATCCACCTTCACTTCCCTACACCCCAACTTCATGTCCTCTAGAATTTTTCTATTAAGTCCAATTTATACTCTTGGGTATAGGGTCATCCATGGCAGTGTGGTTGATCAACCAGGGATCACACCCTTAAAGAAAACTAACTCTCCCTACCCCAAAGCTATCAGTTGTGTCTAGCTCCTCAGCTAAGGACAGGACTTCATGACCACCTCCCTTTTCTATACTGGGATAGTGTAGGCTTTAGCTTGTGCAGGGCTCATGCATGCTGTCACAACTGCCATGAGTTCATATGTGCAACTGCTCTTTTGTATCCAGAAAACACTTTTTGAAGAAAGGAAGGCAACTATTACTATTCATTCTCATCTAAGGCATGAAATAATCAACACATACATTCAAGGTTACAATCATTAATGCACCTGCCTCATCTCCAGGTCAGTCTAGCTGAGAAGTTCTAGTTCTTAAAATCACTGGGCTATATAATATTTCCTGAGCCACTTAGCATCTCTGGGACTATCATGTAAAATAAGGAGATAAGAGTTGCAGACGTAGTTCAGTGGTAGAGCACTTACCTAGTATGTCCAAGGTCTTAGGTCTAGTCCCTAGTACCACAAAATGCATACATACCTACACACATGCATATGTAGGGAAATGATTCATGCCACAGACAGAATTTTTTATATGATAAAGTTTCTAAAGCACCCAACATTCTCAGACACTGATCAAACTATCTAGGATCAAGAACGCTCTAGGTGACACTAACTAATGGGGGTTACTCTAATCACCAATTTGTATAACTGTTTTATTATTGCTATATGACTGGCGCTTCTAATGTTACGGAGAGGGACTTTTGGTCTACCTTTGGTAATTGATTTAAAAGTACTGGAGTTACTGAGACCTGAGTAATGTGATCCTTACTCAGTCCTTTATTAGTCAATAAGTCCTTTTAATGAGCTCTTCAGCTCCTTTTTAACAGTTCTGGTGGTAGGACATAGCTAGGCTCCCAAGCTAACCATGGATCAAAACATTAAGACTTTCACATATGAAACTTCAGGTCCAGAGAGTTAAGGGCACAGGTGATAGAGGATTGCATTTGTTCGGAGACAGGTGCAAGGGGGACCTGTGATCTACTGAGTGTTATGGTTTATGCTTCATGGACTCTTTTCCCATTCTTTAATTCCACAAATATTTACTGAGTGTCTATGCTAAAAATTCTATTTATAGTATGTTATTTAATCTTAGTCTTCAATTTCTCATGTGCCATAAATATGTATTGGGTTTCTGATATATGACTAGTCCTCCATCTTTTATAAATGAAGGAAATGGAACTGAGAGAGCTCATAATCTTCCGCAAACCTCCTAAGCACCAAATGATAAGTCAGACCTCAAATTCAAATATGAGAGACCCCAAATTCTTGGACAAATATGTACCCCACTTTAAGGTATCTAGATCTATGTAAAATTAATAAAAGATAAAGCAAATTGTCACATGATCTTTCAATAGAATTCTATCTTAAGTCTAACATAAACAGAGAAACTACTGCACGGAAGACAAAATCTTTTGTTACATTAAAATTTTCAAATTGTAAGGCATCACAGATTTAGATTATTTAAAAATGAACCAAGAGTAGGGCTTGTACTAATAAGGGAAAGCTATTGACATCAACTCCAGATATCTTATCCAAAAATTCAGTGGAAGAAAAGAGAAATGTATAGCTGGGGTGGTCCTGGTGTCAAAATAGCTCAGTGTTAAGAGGGTCTCAATGCTTCAATCCTCAGTACCAAAAAAAAAAAAAAGGAATTAAAATAGTTACAACCACTGTCCTAGATAGCTTTAGTTGTCAACCTACACACCTAGGAAGAGAGCCCCTCAACTGGGGAATCGCTGCTATTGAATTGGTCTTGTGGGCATTTTCTTGATTACTGGTGATGTAGGAGGGCTCAATCCACTGTGGGTACCACTCCTAGGTAGGTGGTTGTATCAGAAAATGGGCTGAGGAGCAAGTCAGTAAGCAGCATTCCTCCATGGCCTGTGCTTCAGCTCCTGCCTCCAAGTTCCTGCCCTGACTTCCCTTAGTGATGAACTGTGACCTGGGAGGTGTAAGATAAAATAAACACTTTCCTGCCCAAGTTGGTTTGGGTAAGTGTTTGTGTTGTTTCACAGCAACAGAAAGTAACTAGAACAACCACCACCACTTACTGAGGAATGGTGAGCACTCTAAGGAAGTACTCTTCTGCTGGGAAAAAATTTCCTACCCTCACCCAATATCAGGAGACATTGGCAATCTTTGGAGACATTTTTACTGGTCAGAAATGGAAAGTCAGTGGGTGCTACCAGCAACAAGTGGGCAAAGGCTAGAGCCGCTGTTGGACACACTGCTGTGCAAAGGAAGCCCCACCACAAAGAGACTGTTTGATTTGAAATGCCAAAAGTGTCAAGATTGGAAAACTCAACTCTGAAGAAGTAAACATTTACTTGACCATTAAGTTTATACAAAAAATATTAGTATTGAAAGATAGCTGCAGACGGCAGCAATTGAAAGCCAACACAAAGAACTGAATGGTGGAATTAAATATTCTTGATTCTATAATGAAAACCGGGGCCAGGAGTTCTGGCACATGCCTGTCATCCCAGAACTCAATAGATTGAGATACAAGAAGCAGTCATGGCTGCATAGTGAAATGACCATTAAAAATTAAATTTACAAAGATTTATAAATAATAATTGTTTTATTAAAAATAATAAAAATATAATTACCACAAGGAAAAATATTGAAAGTCATGTTAGAAAC